GGAACAAGTGCAAATCAAGATTACAGCACACTGCTCAAATAAACAAAATTATAGACAAACCTGTATGGAATGAATAGATTCAGAAAGATAATAATACATATACATTTTACACTAGAAAGAATTCATCAGATAAGTTCTCCTGTACAGGTGACAAAAATCAATGAATATCATCAGTGTAAAACTCGTTCAAAAGATGATTTGTGGGGCGCGGCTAATTCTGAAATAGCACTGCCTACTACATACAGTGGAAGGTCATTTCATCGTAAAATTACCAAAGGACTTAGTTACAACAAAATCTCATAACATAGCTACCTCTCTACCACTAGAGATCTATGCCTTTCTTTCACATATTAAAAGCAAATGCATTAACTTGGTCTCATTGCCAGCAGATGACATCACATCAGGAACTACCAAACTGATGCCAGTTATGTGATGTGGCATTATGTTGAAAATGCCTTGTTCTAAAAGCTGAATCACAATTCAAAATGAGGTTTTCTTTTCTAGAAAATGATTTCAACTAACTCTTTAGTAACATCCAACAATAAATAATAACTTTCTTAATCACAATTACTTTCTGTATTATTTGCATTTGTGATCTTTTGAGCATCACAATTCAATGATATCAATATCTAATACAATTATATATGTGATATGTGTATGGGAAAAGGGTCATTTCATATTAGATCATATTTAGGATGGAACAATATCATATTTGGACTACCAAAGAACTGAAAACATCTAACTGCAAATTGTCCATAAACTTTAACGATTCGTCTTATCAAAGCTCTTAAATGTCCTCCTCTGCATACTCTTGTAATGCACTTATCACAAAGACATTACTCAAGAGCACAGTAACTTTCATAAGGAGAAAAATAGATAAGACAAACATATTGAAAAATCCCTTATATTCAGCTGCAGTGCCTCTATCTTATTATTTGACCTAATAAGTAACACATTCTGGACTTGACCTTAGGAACGTAAAATCATCTTTCTGCTAACTTATAAAATCCTCTAAAGTCTTGACTTTGATCTTTAAAAAATGCTGATGTCGCTTGGCCTTTCACCTTACTGGTCACTTGCCATCATCACTGTCCTGTTATATCTTCCCGTCAATAAAATCTATTAACTATTTAATTGGCCTTCTTGTATTCTATTCTCTCCACTTTTACTTCATCTCCAACAAGCTGGTAGACATAGGTCACCACCGTGGAACTCTGGATGTCCATCAGAACAAAGGAAGGTGTGATGTCCCTGTCAGAGAGAAGAATATATTAGTGATGTTCATGAAGAGCATTACATCCTACTTTTCATAATTCTTTAAACCTACATCCATGACCTGCTTGATATTCATAAACTTCCTATTATTTATATTATATACTTACATTTAGCTGAAAAGCTTTTAGTTACAAAGAATCAGTTGTTTCAAATTACAGATTGCTATACATTAATAATCATCAAGTTTATAGTCTTATTCAATTGTCAAAGCAATATCATTAAATGTCTGTTAAAATTCTAGAGCAGTTTTCAATAAAATAAAAATGTTAAATTAGCCTTCACATGGCATAGCACATAAACAATGCTATTTCATACAGTGATACAGATCCAGTAAAGCAGAGCATTCTGTTCTTAATTTTTGACTACTTGAACTGATATAAACTATATTTCACATGGACGATTTTTCCTTATTATTAACTTAGTTCTATCTCATCATTTTGCTCACATTATCACTTTGATATAAAGAGAAAATAATGATAATAATGATAAGTCAGAAGCTAGAATTCACAATGAGGACCCAATACTACCATAAAAGTGCTAAGTACTTTCTATGACGTTCAGTACTTGCAACATTTATAATGCTCTCTGCAGTTTCTATTTCCAAATGATCATATTTGTGTCTGTTGAGTATGCTTACTCTAAACAAAACTTGGTAAATAATCCACTTTAAATTTCCAGTATACACATTAACATCACTTGATAAATCTGTAGTATACACAAACTGTTAAAAATTATAAAATCAAAATTCACCCACATATTAACAAACACGACTTACTGGTCTAAAGCACTGTAGGCACCCGTAGCTGATCCAGGATTTATAAAGAAGCGAGATTCTGCCTCAAAGGCTTCAAATCTGTGTGTGTGACCCGAGATGAGTATGTCAGCATCTAACTGTCTTGCAATGAGGGACAGTGCAGCTGGGTCTCCCCATGGTACAACTTGGTGCCCGTGACATAGCCCAATTCGAAACTGACCAACTGTAACTACTTTCTGTTCGGGATAATTTGTCTGGAATGGATAGATGAAAAGATACAGTAAATATATGAATAATATCTATAAATAAAGTAGCAGAGAGAAACAAAATAAAACAAAACAAAACAAAACAAAAATGAGGCAAGATATTTCACACTCGTATACATAAATCAAACAATAAAAAAGGAAAACAATCTTTACCTCATCAAAATCCCCTCGGACAACATGTACATCTGAAGCAAGAGTCTTGAGGTAGTCATAGCTTTCCTTTGTACACAGATTTCCTGTACACAGAATGTGCTGAATGCGTCCTGGCACCAATAACTTCTTGAATTTGGCTGGCAAGGAGCTGACGCGATGGGGGATGTGAAGATCTCCAAGCACGAGTACCAACTGTAAAATTTAAAATCACAATTCACCCACATATTAACAAACACGACTTACTGGTCTAAAGCACTGTAGGCACCCGTAGCTGATCCAGGATTTATAAAGAAGCGAGATTCTGCCTCAAAGGCTTCAAATCTGTGTGTGTGACCCGAGATGAGTATGTCAGCATCTAACTGTCTTGCAATGAGGGACAGTGCAGAAAACAAAACAAAAATGAGGCAAGATATTTCACACTCGTATACATAAATCAAACAATAAAAAAGGAAAACAATCTTCACCTCATCAAAATCCCCTCGGACAACATGTACATCTGAAGCAAGAGTCTTGAGGTAGTCATAGCTTTCCTTTGTACACAGATTTCCTGTACACAGAATGTGCTGAATGCGTCCTGGCACCAATAACTTCTTGAATTTGGCTGGCAAGGAGCTGACGCGATGGGGGATGTGAAGATCTCCAAGCACGAGTACCAACTGTAAAATTAAGAAGTCAACAGATCTTCCTACGTGAAGAAAGTGGAAGGAAACAGCTCATACATAAGACGGGAAATGGAGTGTGAAAAGTGTAAAGGAAAGGAAGGAGGAATAACCAGGGAGAGGGAGAGGGAAAGAGAGGGGGATAGGGAGAGGAGAGGGAGAGAGAGAAGTGGTAATTAAGTCTTCTTAGAATATAAATACACAAAAAAATGGCACCTGACTCAAAAATTCTTTATCTAGAAAACATACACATTTATATGAACTTTAGATTACTAAAACATAGATTAAAGTACCAACATATCTGTAACTATACATGTTTGAACATCATCCTCTTCAATAAGTGGAAAAAAAAGTAATTGGTAAATGTAATTTGGCATAACTTCACTAAATACATTATATTTGATAATAGTCTACTGTCAACAAGTACCTATCTCTATATGCCGGTGTCTGTCTATAGCAGTTTCAGAGAGGCATCTACTCCATTAATCGTGTGATTAAAGTTATTCAACATCGCAAACATATAATAAAATCGACAGTAGTAGTTTCAAGCGATTTCTTTTCTCACAACAAAAAATTGAAGACTATAATATTTTACTGATAAAATTGGTAATTTTTCAGAATACATTTGCATAACCTACCATGATGATTTCAGTATTAATGGATTCTTCTGTCTCTGTCTCTGTCTCTATCTACTTTCCAAATTTATTGAAATTATACTATAGAAACCTCCCCATTAGCAATAATATATTGATGTGTTCACGCTTCATGTTAGTCATATGCTCTATCCTGTCATGAATAAGGAGAAATCTGTGTATATCTGGGCAGGGATTTGGAGGGGCAGCAGCTCCCCATGTGGGGTAACAGGAAGTGCAGCCTCCCGCATTCAACAGTATAAAAAAGTATTATCTATAATATGTTATTATATTATTATTACTTTACCCTTTAATTTCCCTGGTACTTATAATGCCCTCCAGGGGAAAGAAAGTTTTTTGTGGGGGTTACATAAAATAATTACTATTTATATGTGTACTAGAGGGTGAGAGTAATCCATCGACACCAAAATCATTGTGATCAGTATGCAAAGTATTGTGAAAACTTATCATAACATTTTATTCATGGAATATGGCGTGTGCAGGTAGTGGCATTTTGTCGAGTACAGCTCAAAGATGATAGAGTAAACATTTTCTATAGCTGGTTGATATATAATGTAGCATATGATCGGATGTTAAATATGAAAATACATCTTTATTAATATATAACAGATATACCTACCTATGTGTCTTAACATTTGTCGACCATTCTGGCTATACAACATTTTCTCAGAAAATCTGTGCTCACCCAAGACTAAACCAATACCAGCTTTCTTTTATCTTTAATGAATTCCTATTGTGCATGTTTACTTACAGGAATATAAGATTAATTAAGCATTAAAGGAGATTAATGAAGCATTAATTAAAGGTCACAGGATGTCAACAGCAAGGAGACATAAAACTACCAAGAGAATTTGTCATCTTCCTACAGAAACACTTAGATAAAATTTCGAGAGAAAATATATGGCACACTCAAAGAATAAATATTATCTAAGCTGAAAAACAACATAAATATATATATATATATATATTACTAAAAACACGTAAATGAGACCGACACTACACACACCCCCAAGTAAGCAACTTATTTACTTACTTATTGAGCGCTCTTATTTACTCTAAACTATCAACCAACAACAATATCATTACAATATCTACAAAAACCAACATGCAGGTCGACAAAATACACCAAAAAACAACCAAAACAACGAGAAAAAAGACGAAAATGAGGCCGGAGGATACGAACCATCTTGACAAGGGGGAGGATCAGCTGATGCCTTTGTTTTGGTCGCCCCCCCCTCGCGATAATCGGGAATTAAGTCTTTGTGCTTTTAAATATAGTCGAAATAATTTTTTAGGACATTTAAATAAAGTCAAAATATCTTTTTAGGATATTTAAATTAAATGATGACGTTGATTATTACCGTTTGTTGATTTTGGTTGAAGTGAATTATTGAATTATGATACTATTAATCAGAATATATTAACTCTATTTCATACTAATAATCAAAGTAAATCGCCTACAAAATATGAATTATGATACTAATACTCAAAATACATTAATTCTGATAATCCTATCATACTTAGGGGAATATCGTACGTTTTTTTTTTTTAATGATGTGTAGGTGTAATTATAATATGATAGATTATAGTATGATAGATTATATCATAGTATTATATTGTAGTATATTATATTATAGTATGATAGTATAGTATATTATAGTATGATAGTATAGTATAGTATAGATTATAGTATGATAGATTATATTATAGTATGATAGTATAGTATAGTATAGATTACAGTATGATAAGTTATATTATAGTATTATATTAGATTATATTAGATTATAGTATAATAGTATAGTATAGTATAGATTATAGTATGATAGATTATATTATAGTATATTATATTATAGTATCAGAGATTATCAGGAAATTAAAGTCTCGATATGTTTTGAGTGCGAGTTTAAATTTCAATATATTATTTACTGATATCATTATTATTATCAGTAATGGAGAATTTAACTAGGAGGTATATATGTGTGTAAATACAGAGGATAATTTAGTTTTAAGTTTTTTAAAAGAAGTAATTTCAACAACATGAAATAGAATAATATGTTATTTACAGCTTATGTACTAGCTTCATTAACTAGAATAAATACTTTTTTTGGTAAATTTATACATCAATTGAATTCAAAACTTACATAATCCATAATAAAAATATATAAAGTAAGTATAAAAAGTAAATATTAAAAGAAAAAAAGAAAAAAAATCAATACTTTAACACAACATAACGCCGAATTAAGAATTTACTGCTAGGAAGACAAACTTGTGTTTACAAATTACGAGAAACAAAATTTTCTTTTTATGTTGTTAATTATACGATAAATATACGATGAAGTGCGTTATACCCGGAATCAACATAAAAGGTAACTTAAAACACATTATTCCGCCCATGTCTTAGTGAAATATTATAACCCTTTTCGTAATATAAGTAAAAAAATGGTCTCATGTTCTCGCTCGTAATATACTCCTAATTCTTGTTAATTAATCTAATTTTAATCTTATTTTCCACAACAGGAATATTCAGAAATTGACTAAATATAATGTAATGGCAACCAAAAACACATATGAAATAATTTTCCATACAGTTTTGCTACTATTAGCATGTCCCGTTACACCCATTTTGTGAATCCACTATTCCTCAAGATTACTTAAAGCTATTATATCAGTATTCTCTGGTGCCTTTGCCCCTTTCTCTTGAAGTTTTTAATATTACAAAATCAATACAATTTGTTTTAACCCATTCTTGATTAGTAAAAATGAACAAAAAATGGAGGAATATGCTGTGCTCATTTTATATATTTTTTGTGAAATGTCTCTACACATAGATGGCTCTGCCTTACCTTTACTTGAAATGGCAGAAAAATGTATTTTTTACTAGTGCTATGAATATTGAAATTTTTTTTAGTTATTATTATAAACATTATAATTACTATAATGTTATAAACATTAGCAACAGCAATATAAGATAACATAAAATATTTTCGTAAATTAAAGAAAAGGATAAAGGGGTGAGACAGGCAGTACTCGCAACAAATGTAGCCATCTAGGTGTAAAAACAATTAAACATGTAAACTCACAGTGGGCATGTCACAGATACGTGATACCCGTCGCGAATGGGTTAAGCGTACATCTAAGATATGCAAGTAAATTTGTCCAATTGTCAATGTGTGTTTGTAACATTTCATTATTATGACATGTAATGCCCATACGAACCTACAAAATCATGGGGTTTGTAACAAACTGACACATAAGTCTACTACCTTATGAAATATATGTACTACCTTATGAACTGAATAGAGGGGAAACAGAATTATATATGTAAATGCAAGTTGAAATAAAAAAGGAATACACGGAAGTTTGTCACTTGTACAGTAAGTCCCCTACTTATGAACATTCTACTTATGAACATTCCATACATATGAACAAATTTTTAAAAATACTTAAATCCAAAAAATTGTTTGAAAGATGCTAGCAAATTTTCAAATTTCCCGGGTGTGAATATAGTTCACAAGTCTGCTGCGCTCACTCAGCTGTGCGCATCACTCGCCTCAGTAGCCTGCCCTCCCGCCATAAACATGAAAGCATCTGTTCACTGTATCCTCGTGTACTGCCAATTTTTGTGACATAATTTGCCTTACCTGTGGATCAATCCATCAAAAATACTTATTGGGATTTATGCTCAGGTTTCTTAACCCCTTGGTGCCGGGTGACGCCGATCGGCGTGTACACAAAGAGCTCGAAAGCTGGCGTGCAGCCGAACGAGCCGGCGGCGCGCCAAAGCGCGGCGAGCCAGTGATTCGGGCTGATGTCCCCTACTCACGCGCTCAAAGTCGGCGCGCCGCCTTTGTTTGTTTATGCGTAGAGTTTTTTTTTTTCTTTTGTACACCCGGCACCATTGGGTTAATGTAAACAAACCTTTAAAACAATGGGAATAAAGGCAATGGAGATCCGACTTTGGATATACGAACAAATAGAGTTACGAACAGCCTCTCGGTCCCCATTATGTTCGTAAGTTGGGGACTTTCTGTATTCCAAGACCCACATACAGTCATGCTAGTATGGTTGTATAAGACATTTATCAGTTTTGTAATTTATCCGTAATATGAACAGTGCATAAAGTGGGGCTGTTTCTATTCTAGATGCCATATAAAGTCATATTTTTTTCATTTTTTTTCCTAGTGGATCATCATTTTTTTGCATTATTTCATTTATTTCTCTTTTCTTTTCAGTGTTTGGAAGAGCAATTCATTCCTTGGCAAAAATTGGAGAAGAATTATATGTAGAACCAAGTCCAAAGGGTAATGTAAAATAACATGTTTACTCTTCATAGCTTTTAGAAATAAGTACATTATCAGTATGTAAATATTTATGTGTGTGTGTGTGTGTGTGTGTGTGTGTGTGTGTGTGTGTGTGTGTGTGTGTGTGTGTGTGTGTGTGTGTGTGTGTGTGTGTGTGTGTGTGTCCTGTGGTTTATATACTCGTGATATACAAATACCTTTTAATTAGTTAGTATGTGTTAATGAAATTCATATGGTGTTTAGAAGGAATTGGCAAATTAGCCTTTAGATTAATGTAGATATTGTTTTCCTGCTTAATGGGACCAGAATTTACACTTATATGTGTGTTCATTATTTAGATTAAGCTTTTCTGTAGTTGAATGGTAAAAAGGATATAGCTAACTGTAGTACCATTAGCAAATAGGAATGAGTACAGAAATTGAGTCATTCTCATGGCCTCCAAAAAAAATTCCATGTGATGGTTGATGAATTCATAATACGTAAAAGTAATTAATATGAGGCTTGACATTTTGCCTGAAAATTTTAGTGATATACCTAATACTGATAGCTAAACACTATGTGCTTTGGCAGTAGATTAATTACTGTACCTTTAATGTACTTTCTAATACTGTATGCATCGTTGCAGGTGTTGCCTTTCGAACTGTCAATTCATCCCGCTCAGCATTTGCATCATATACATTCAGCTCAAGCTTCTTCTCACAATATGATGATGGATCTCTTAACCAAGAAAAGGATGCTGGGGAGGAAACTGTCAAATGCAAAGTTGCCATGAAGGTAAAATTTTTTTATTAGACAAAATGAGTGTGAATCCAGAGAGTACGTGAGGTAATACTGTGCGAGGGAGTCTGCTGATGAGTTTGTGAGTGTACTTAAGTATGTGAAAGGTTTATGCTGTGGAAGATGAAAGCAATGTGGTAAATTGTTTTTCTCTCTATGTTTTGTTTACAGATTGTGTGTTTGTATTTGAGTTTATGATAAGATATCATACCATTATTGGGGTGATTTTTCCCAGTCTAAAATTTAATTATCTAATCAAGAGCTTTATTCCTCATTGATGACTGTTAGATTATTACTGAAATTTCTTTTAGTAAAAATAGTGAGAAATCATATCTCACATCTTTTTTATGGGGATAACATATTGTTATTGACATATATGTAACCATAACATCTTTCAGGCATGCTTAAATGTGTTCAAGTCACTGGCTACATTAGAGCGCACTGTTGAACGGTGTAAGATTACCTTGGATGGTGAGGAGGACAAGCTAGGAATCCAACTCAACTGCCGACATGGAATTAACAAGATCTACAATCTCTCTTTCATTGAGTGTGAGACCCTCCAGGTGTGGCTTCTCGGTTTCATATTCCTTTCCGTGTGTTTTTATGCGTTGTTGTTTTTTCTGGTAAATTTCATTTTTGATACAGCTTCATTTTGAAATACTGGTTCCCCTTCCACAGGCTGTGTTTGACCGAGAGTCTTGCCCAAACTACATCCAGAGCCAGTCTCGAGTGTTGAGTGATGCTGTTCTGAATTTCCAGCTGAATCAGGATGAAGTTACGCTCTGTGTTTCACCTGAGAAGATCATTATTAGGAACTATGTTGAAGATGAACCAGGTATTCAGGGTTGTGAAGTGTTAGCTTACCTTGTTTAGATAGGGGTTGGGGGCAATGTATTATGTTATGTGTAAATTTGATAGTTCTGCAAGGCATTTAGCATATACTCTACATACCGACATTATTAAGATGTCAGTCCAGAAAGAAGAACTTGTATGTCAGTTAATTGCTTCTGATTACTTACTTTACAAGGGTTAACTATTCTCCAGCCAGTAAGTCTGAGAATGAAAGATTGCTATTAAATATTACAGTTTCATACATAAAAGAAGCCAGTATCACAAAGTTATTTAAATGAACACTTGTTACCCAAGAATATTCTAAGTTACC